CTATAGTATATTTCTTATCTGTTTGCAAAAAATATATATTTCTTATCTCTTTGATATGTTTTTAGTGTTTTCAAGACATTAAATTTGTTTATTTCGATTTAAATTTCATAAAACATGAAATTATATTACATTTTTCATATGTTGAGTACGTTATGTTTATAGACAATTTCTGCAATTACATTTTATAGTATATGGAGTTACATTTTCTTATGAGCGAATTACATATTCTTGTGCATAAGTTACATCTTCCTATGCGTGTGTTACATTTGGACTTGCCTCAACAAGTTACATTTTGCATACACCTAAGTTAGATCTTCCATCAACGCGAGTTACACTTATTCATAACACGTATTACATCACAAAATAAACCCCAACTATTGAAACAAAAAAAATTAAAAACAAAAATGATTTTATTTGGCAAAAAAAAGATATTACATTTTTTTGGCGAAAAAAGTTATTTTTCTTTGAAACATTTTTATGGCCTTAATACTAAAAACAAAACATATTAACTATTTTCATTCTTTACATTTGATTGTCTATGAATTTACATGTTCTTATGCACGAGTTACATCTTTTTATGCGTGAGTTACATCTTCTTACACGCGAATTACATTTAGACTTGCCTTAATAAGTTACATTTTGCATACACCTAAGTTAGGTTTTCCATCAACGCGAGTTACATTTTCTATAACATGAGTTACATCACATCATAAAGCCCTGCTATTCAAACCAAAGAATCAGTTTTATTCAAAAAAAATTGTTTTGCAAATAATATGATTTCTTAGGCAAAAAATGTGATTTAAAAAAATATTTTTATGGCCTTGATATAAAAAACGGAACATATTCACTATTTAAGTAATCCCCTGCTATTGAAAAAAAAACACTTATGTTTGCAAAAAAAATGATTTTGTTTTTGCGAAAAAAATGTTTTTTTGGCAAAATAAATGATTTTAAGAAAAAAAACATTATTTGTGGTCTTAATATTAAAAACAAAACATATTCACTATTTACACAAAGTAATTGAGCAATTAGATTCCTTATTTTCATTGAAATCAATTTTTTTTCTTATAATCCGTATTAGACAAGTTACATTTAGATTTGCCAGCAGTTACATTTTTTATTAGCGTGAGTTACATTTCTTTACACGCGAGTTACATTATTCATGCTACTAGGACAAAAGAAAAAAAACAGTTACTGTACATACGTGTACTGTTCACGCGATTTTTTTTGCTGATATTAAGTGCAAAAGTCGAACTTAAAAGGTACGGAGTACTACGTAACTTCCTTGCAAATTGTTATTTTATTTTATTTTTGAAAGAAAAAAAATCAAAATACAAAACATATGCATCTTTATGAGAAAAATATTTTTAGAATTGAAAATGTAAATGGTTCTATTTAATGAAAGGATAAATTGATCTTTAGTTAAAATAAGATTAACAAATGTAGAATCTAAGGCAATGTTTGGTTTGAGGTAATATCCTATACAGGTCGGAATCTGATGTCCAAGATGTGAGATTCCTGTGTTTGGTTCGCGGGTTTGTTTTGTTTTGGAATGCTACATTCACAAAACTGAAAAAAGGAATGAGATTACTAGCCATCCTAAACCCAATAAGGCTTTAGCTTTTCTAAGATTCCCGCAACTCTCTTCCAAAAACACCCATCACCGCAACTCTCTTTTTCAGTAGAACTTCAAGCGCAGCTCCCTCCTTCGAACGAAGCTCTCTTCTCCATCTTCAAAACCTAGTAATTTCTTTCTCTATTTTCAAGTTTCTGAATGTGTTCTTCTACACATTGTTCATCACTTAAATTCGGAGGCGTTATATTCCCACTCCTAAGCCTCTGCTTCTCCGTTTTCTTACCCTAGTGAGGTTGTATGATTATTTTGATTAATTTAGTTTTGGTATGAATTTTATTTTGCTGCATTTATTTGTGTTAATAGCAATGATTATTTTTTCAAAAAAATCTACTCTATTTAGAACACCCAAAACGTAAAGCCTATATGTCAGTCACGGGTGATTTTTGCACTCTTTGCACTCTGAAAAGTGATTTTTGCACTCAAACAAGAAGCAACACTTGAAAAAATAACTTTACCCCAGAATGCCAGTCATGGGTAAGTCTGAGCTATATGTCCATAGTTATCTGATCTTTCACTTTGGGGTTGGAAATGTAATTGTTGAATGTGAAACAACTGGTAGGTACTGGGTATGAAGTGAGATGCCTATCCTAACTATAATGAATTTGGACTCTTCAAGTTTTATTGTCTTCACTAAGTTTCTGCTTAAGTTTGCTAAATGAATAATAATAATATCTAAAAGATACTTAGCACATGTAAATTGAGAAACAGTGTGACCTTCATCTAATTTGTACATAGTTGCTATTAGACCAACATATTTTGTTTCACCAGCAATCCAGCATATTGGTTACACTTTTCAGAATGGCTAAAGGGTCAAATAGGCCCCTGAACGTATACGAATTGCTCAATTGGCACCCCCAACCCAGAAAAGCTCCGATCCAATACACCAACCAAATTAATTACTTCAATCCCCCCATCCAACCGGTTACTTTCCGGTTGTCCCCCTTTCAACCAGAAACTGGAGCTCCAAACTACCATTAATGGCGGAAATCAGAGAGCTCTCAGCCGGTGGGGGTTCCCACGACATCAGACCAGATGGATGAGTGGTCAGTGGTTGGCCGCTGATGACGAACGGCGGTGTGGCGGCTGGAGGAGCCAACGACGAGCCACGAGCATCACTACGGCTTGCTGGAAGGAGCCACGGTGAAGTATGGTCATTTGAAGAAGCTGGAAGGAGCGTCATCGTCAATGTCAGGGCAGGAGAAGAAATTGAAGGTGATGAAGGCCGACTTGCTGGACTACGAGTCGCTGGTTGGGGCTGTGGCAGGTTGCGCCGCCGTATTCCATGTTGCTTCCCCCGTATCCTTTGGTCCTGTCTCCGACTTCTCCACAGTTCAGGCAAGCTTGGCTGCACCGTATACCTTAGCTTCTTTCTTTCAAAAAAGAAATTAAGTTCATTAATAATGTAATCACCATACCTCAGCTCTAGCTAGTAGCTCGTGTTAACTCTAAAACTTGGTTTTTGAATTTCTAAATTATTACTCCGTATTAAAACTTGGGATTCCATGGTAACTAGAAATGGTGAAGTTTTTGTACGTTCGCGTTAAATTTAATTGTGTATTTGGTAGTTGTTGGATCAACTTTTTGTATCCTAAACAAACTACAGAGCAAATGTGTTTTAATTTATCTTACAGCAAGGGTATGTTTGGTTCGAGTGTTTTCGAGGGGACTGAGGATGGGATCACAGTTTTTCTTTGTGATGTGTTTTCTAGTGAAACAATTAAGGACTGGATTTGATGCTTATCAACAAGAAAAAAGATTGAATCTTGTTGCAGATCACAAATTACAACCGGATTTAAATTCTGCAATTATTTATACAAATAATGAGCAATGCTCTGTCAAAATATCACATTTTACACATTTCTATATGGCCTATATGGCTATATCCATACATAGAGTGATCCTTTATCGTACAATAAATGTGAGAATTTCTCCTTCCTTTCCCTATGAAAACCCTGGACTCCACTGTGAGAGCTTTCGCTAGTGACATACACCAGTTGTGGAAGTAGAAGGCCAAAAGTTCTTCCCATGGTGATAGAAACTTTAGTTTTCGGTTGATACTATATTACAGATTTCTTTTGGGGCATAGATACCAGAGGAGAGTAATACGCAACTAAAGGAGTAGCAGACCAAAAGAAGAGAAAAAATCATAGATATCAAGTAACTTTCTGATTTGTTGCAATTGTTATTTTGATTGATTTTCTTTCCATTTAGTGTTCGCATAGAACAAGGAAATTGATTGTAAAATCAACTCTATGTTGACACAACTCTGGAGTAATAAAGCATTCAATTTTCATCCTAAGCTATTGAACATTGCCAAGGGCAAGTCTCCACTCATTCTATGAGACTCGTCAAGCATGATCCTTTTCCTCCCTTTCGCTCATAAAATGAAAGCCATTCCCTCCTCTGTCCTTCCCACGTCTAGCAATAGACCCTGCTCCAACTTGCTTAGCAGGATCTTTACTAATGATAGAAGATGATGTTTATATCCCCAAATAGAACAATCATAATTCAAATAGTAGTTGGAAAAGCAATTCTACCATTCAGTGTAACTGCACTAAAAGTCAGAATAAACAATGTTTATCACATGAATAGTAATAGGAAAGCTAATCATATCACTTGAAAAAGCCCTACCTTGTAACAACATATCGTCTTAGTAGGGTGTTACTTGTGCGTGACCTCTAACTACAGAATTGCTACACCACCCACTTCCACTGCATACTCTTCCACCTATACGTTACCCCTGAGTCTTAATATGTATATGGTGGCTCCACAAACTGTGAAACATCTTTTAGCTAGGAACATATACACACCCTACATAACATATATATATAGCTCAAATCTTCATTAAGGTTGCTCTAGCTGCACTACTTCTTCTCGTGAGTAATAGTTTTTTTGTGCACTACATTTTGATACACAATTCATGTTATCATTCGTTTTACTTGTAAGTTTTTGATTATTTTTTAATAATCACGTCCAAGAGTATTTTGCCTCAAGTCTGTGATTAATTACTCAAAGGTTTGTTTGTTGCAGAAGGAACTATTGGGGCCTGCTGTGAAGGGTACATATAATGTACTGAAGGCTTGTTCTGAAACCAATGTGAAGCGTGTAATAATTGTGTCCTCTGTAGCTGCTGTTGCCATGAACCCTAATTGGCCAGTTGATAAAGTGAAGGATGAGTCTTGTTGGTCTGACGATAAATATTGCACTGCAACAAATGTAATCCACCCTCTTCCCCTCTCCAAGTAAAAAGAAGATCTTCTTTATGATAACTTACTCAACCACTCCGCAATCAATCAAGTACCGGAATAGTTGCATTTTTGGTTGATCTCTTCTTGATTCAACGTATAATTCATATTCTATGCAGAACTGGTATTGTCTTTCGAAAACAATAGCAGAAAGAGATGCCTTTCAGTATGCACAAAAACATGGGCTTGATGTGATTTCTGTTTGCCCATCACTTGTTTTGGGCCCAATGCTGCAGCAGACACCTAATGCCAGTAGCTCTGTTCTCATCTCTCTTTTGAAAGGTACCACTAATGCAAGTCGCCGTATAATACAAGAATTATTTCATTTTAAAATTTCATGAAGTTGATTGTTTTTATCAAGGTTATACAATACAAGATTTCTTTCATTTGAGTTGCTTTGTATTTCAGAACAATTCTTGCAATTATGAATTTATGTACTATTTATATAAATAAGTTAGCACATTGTTTAAAAGTTGATGCCAACCATTTCTAATATGGAAATGCGAGACAATGAAATCAACTTTGAGAGACATCAGCTTTGTAGCTGGGAAAATATGTGTTGTGTTAGGGAGATAGTGATTCACCTGTAGGCAGGAGCGCAGCTAGGGGGCATACTAGGCCCTTGCCCATCCCAAATTTTATAAAAACTTCCATTTACAGCGCAGAAAAATTATATAAAAAAATCATTGAAAAATTCTTTGTATCGGCCCAGCCCGATGGATTCTCCTCCTTATGCCACTGCTGGCTGTAGGACTACTTCACATTGAAGGGTTTAATGTTCACACTAATCACCAGTATTGTTGACCCATTGCAGAGTTCATTAAAAAGCTTCTTCTTCGTAGAGTTTGTATCCAAAAAAAGTCAGATGCCATTGACTTGGCTTCATTTGGCTGCATATGTTTTCTTTGGATTTGGCTTCACATATGATGACCATCATCCGTATATTAGAACATAAGGCTCCATTGTGAATGGTAGAGATGAATATATGATACAAACTCATTTATATGCTTGGTGCCGAATGAATTATCATTCTCTTACAAGAGTATGCTATTTGTTGAAACTTGCCGAAATATAGTTACTCATTGAAGCTTAACATTTTCTAATACCTTATTATGAGACTTAGGGTTGTTCCTAAAAGTCAATCTGAATGGAAGAGTAACTCAATGCATTATGTGAGATTTCTATGTTTTGTATTTGACTGGCACTGGATAGAGTAATGGTCTATATATGGGTTCTAACAATGCTCATATTGACACTCCTAGGCCGTGTACATCCACCTCATATTAGTTTACTGTGTATACATCCACCTCATGTCTCCATATTAGTTACTATGTGTCCGGTGCTTATTATGACATACTACCTCCGTCCCATATTGGTTGTCCCGTTTCAATTTGGCACGGCTATTACTGAAGTGGTTGAAAAGTAAAAGTTGTGGTTAATATTTGAGTATAATAAAGTGAAATATAAGAACCACATATTTCTTGCCAAAAAAGGAATCAGGACATTCATTTTCCTCCCAATTCAAAAAGAAAAGTAAGACAACCAAAATGAGACGGGGGAGAGTTACATTTTACCAACTAGTGAATCTTTTTTTTTTTTTTGCGGTAGATGGCTATTATTTTATTGGGTCCCTATTTTATTTATCCAATTGTTCACTTTTTACCACATAAGCAACTAGTCATGTTTGGGTTGTTTTTATTATTATGGAATCATCAGAAGGATCTGAAACGGTTCAAAATAAGACGCGAATGGTGGTAGATGTACGCGATGTGGCTGAATCACTGCTGCTAGTCTATGAGAAGCCTGAGGCTGAAGGTAGATACATATGCACCGCTCATACACCAAGTGTTCTGGATATGGTGGAAATGTTGAAGGAAATGTATGCAAACTATAAATACCCCAAAAGGTGTGTCAATTCTTATCATCTAATTTTTTTAGGATTGGCATCATATTTCTAGTCAAGTTTAGATATATTTATCCAGCCCACATTGCCACACACACATATATATTAAAGAACAAGTTATCTGATCTACATGAATTGTTGCAGCTTCTCGGAGTCTGCAGGCATAGACCACAAAGTGACTTCACAAAGGCTGCAGGGGCTGGGCTGGTCTTTCCGGCCTCTTGAGGAAACTCTTAAAGATTCGGTAGAAAGTTACAGACAAGCTGGCCTCTTGGATTAGCATGTGTGCGCGCGCGCGTGTGAACCACTACTATAAGCTATATGTAATAGACTTCTTCTTTGCACCGTCTGATTATTGAAATGGGTTTATCTTAGAGCCCGTTTGATCTTAAGGGTTGTTTGGTTGATATGTGTGGTTACACTCTTGGGGCCAGTTTGGTTGGGAGATTTTACATGAGAAGGAAAGTGATCATATGTAAATTTAAAATAATTTTTACATTTAGAAAAATTGAAATAAAGTGACGACAAAATAGTACTCCGTATATAATAACTAGAACCGCATCCTATATATATAGAGAGTGGTATTCAGGTCTGACCGGTTCGGACATGATCCCGTCTGGCCTCCGCCGTTTGGAGCCGTTCCCGGTGGTATTTTTCGTTGAAATTTTTTGTGTATGTTCTTCATCAAGTCTAGTTCATCCATACTAAATTTGAACAAAAAGTTCAATCGGGAAAAGGGGCGTAGCCAGGAGTAAGGGTTGGATTGGGCCGACACAAAGACTTTTACAGATAAATTTTTACACATAATTTTTTACATTAAAAATATGAGCAATTTTAAAATTTGAGCTGGACCGTGGCCCAGTTGGCCACCCCTCCACCCCGCCCTTGACCGGGAAGGTCGTCAAATGATTTTTGAAAGATAACTGCACCGGAGTATACATATTAAACCCCCCAAATATTTCTCAAAAGAATCCCTAAATCAGATGTGATGAATAAATCAAGTACATACCGAATCTCTTGGAATTTGCTCAAGAGAAACCTTCCGATGCTAGAAAATTTCAATTGATTGGGCTAAGTTCGTTGAGACTGTGAAGCCCGTTACAAAACCTCTTGTAATTGCGATACTCTTCCGCAATTATGCTCCGGCAGCGAGGGATCGAAGGAAACGGTGATGTGTCGTCGGTTGCAATGGAGAGAAGAAGTTGCTGTCTGGTTGCGGTGGGTAGTAGGCAAGGACCGTTCTGGACTTCTGGTGTTGGAGAGAAGGAGCCGATGCCGTCTGGGACTCTGGGTTGCAGTGGATAGCAGGTAACCTAGGATCCCCGTTAATGTTAATTTCCGTTTATCACGTAAGGACTGAAGTGCAAACTTTGTTTCTTAAATTGGATGCTCGGTCAGCATATTATTTATGAAGTAATTGCTCTCAATAGGAGTAAAACATAATACAGTTTCCTAAATAGGAGTTAATTCTTAATCTTCCCCAAACAGGAGTAAATATTAATTTTTTTACCTCTACTACCCATATTCTAATTAATTATTGCCCCCTAGTTTCCTTGGGCAACCAAGGCAGTCCGTCGACGGCGGGGCAGTCTGTGGTGGCTGCAACACTGCGGCAGCGGTCAGGGGCGGATTACGGCGGCGGCGGCAAACTAAGGCAACTAATTAACCCTTTTAGTTGCCCCCATAGTTCTCTTGCACAACCAAGGCAGTCCTTTGGTAGCGGGGGCATTCCGATGGTGTTGGCAGCGGACTCCAGCGGCGGCTCCGGTGGCAGAAATATGGCAGACTATCAGAAAAAAAATCTAGAATTTTCCGGCGGTTCTCTGGCGGCAGCGGTGACCAGAGGTCCGGTGGCAGTCGACAGTCGGCAGTCCTGGGACAGCTGTGGTAAAGGCTGTGAGGGGTATTTTGGTCTAATCATAAATAAAAACTCCCATTTAAGGAAGTTTAAACTAGGTACTCATATTTTGGGAAAAAACTATGTTTTGCTCCTATTAAGGTAAATCTTCCACTATTTATCCACATGACGATAACTTATTTGACCACATAAGAAGGGCACCATACACTGGGAATAAAATTGGGCACTGTAGATGAAGTACCCGTACGATGGGCACCGTAGAAACCACCTTATATTATAACTAGACAAAGTACCCGTACGATTCGCGGGGTGTATCTGTTAGGAAATTGATGTAACGTACCTCGAAAGCACGACAACGGAAGTTTAAAATTTTCTCAAACAGATCTTCCCTGATTATGACAAAACAATGAATATAACAATAATAACAAATCTGAGTTAGAACTTACAGATCTTCCAGCCCAGCGATAATAATCCTTGACCTTAGGTATCCACGTGAATTCTCCTTTCCGAAAGAACGGTTAGATCTCCCATAGAGAAAGGCTAGGAAATTTCTTCGTAGGAAAATAAACTGGTAATACTGAATCTCGAAAACCGGTCAATAAGTTATGAAGGAGAAGGATGTATTTATACTAGTCTAAACTAGTTTTCCAATCACAATGAAAGTCTTTTTTCATTAATGAGTTCTAATCCTACCATGACCACTTATCATTAACGATTTTACTAATTAAATAAGTAAAACAAAATAAACTAATAATAATATCAAAGTGGCTGCATATCACTTTGCTTGTAATTATTATTATTATTTATTTCATTTTCTATTTTCTTTTAATTCTAAATTATAAAAGAAAATACCAACTTTATGTAATTAAAATTACATCTTAATTAAGTATAATAAATCTAATTTTTCAAACTTAATTAATTATATCAAATAGAACTTTCCTTCAACATGATGAATTAAATATACTAATCTAATTAATAATTATCTCATCTTATTTTCAGCATTATGAATTAAATATTATTTAATCCAATTAATAATATTTAATTCCTTCTAACAAATTCAATCGGAAGGTATAATCACTTGTTGTGTGACCCATAGGGCCTTATATATTAAGCACTAATCAAATTAAGGTCTTAGTAGAATCCCTAGACAATTTACCAGACAAACTTAATATGTAAGGACGTTTGCGAGGACTATTCAAACTCCCTGTAGTATAGAGCTCATAGTGATACAGTCCTTTCATTCAACGAACATTCAACTAAGTCTGGAACTTGATATTGTGTCTACTCCAATAACTTAATCTCTACCTCTCAATAACGATCATATTCCACTACTAGAAAAAAACTTAATTGCTGCGGTTTGGAACCGCAGCAATTGCAGGAGCAGTAAAATGTAAAATTAGGTATTTGCTGCGGTTGTAACCGCAACAAATAAGGGATCGAAATTTAAAAAAAAAATACTTATTGCTGCGGTACCTCTACAACCGCAGCAAAAAGTCCGTTTAATTTTTACGAATTACTTATTGATGCGGTTCCTAACACCCGCAACAAATACTTTCCGGATTTGAATTAGGTCTACTCTATTTAATAATTATTTGCTCTAAATTGGCAATACAAAGTTTTAGACCACCAAAAAACTCGTATTTCTAACCATCCAAGTTCTCAATCATTACAATAGTTGCAATACAAGTTTTAGACCACCAAAAAAGCACATTACAATGTCAATCACATCCGAAGCAAAAAAAAAAAAATACATTGTTACAATACATGGTTTATACAAGAGTTTACAAGAAATTGTCACAAACAATTATAGCCCACATCACGGATTTCACTGATTTCTGCCATTCACAGCGCATCATCTCTTACGTTGCTCGTGTACACCTGAAATGTTAAGCAATTTTAATTATTACAATTAGGATTTGCAATATAATTTCATAATAATAACATTGTAACATTTGTAACCTTTTTAATGCTTACTATTTCATTAACCTGCTATGGATGAAGAAATGAGATGGATGGGATGGAGTTCAATAGCCAAAGGGAGAGATATGTGCTGCTGCCTGCTGGGCATCGTTGCTCACTTGCTCTGAATGGCCGGACAAGGAAGGAAGCTGCAGCGAATAAGGTGAGATGTTTTTTATGGACAACTGGGATGCATAATGCCGTTAGGTTGGAACACATAAGATGAACGGTAAACTACACTTGTTTTGATAGAATAAGATAAGAAGATTAATAATAAAAAATGTCTTATATCAAAATAGTACAAACATAATAGAATGCCCTTTTAACAATGGCTTTGCTTATTTTAGAGAGGAAAATGTATTGAGCAACAACCATCCCAATGATATTGGTCCTTTCGAACCTGCAAATAACAAATATGGAAAATATGGCAGAAGGTGTTAGTACCTTTTAAAAGGTTGCCCCTTATGAGTGTGAGAACTTGGTTTGAACCATTCCTGCAACATATGTATGCTTTTCAAGAAGTGAAGCGATTAGCATGCCACAACAGAAGAGCATTCATTTACCTTGCAGGCTGTTATGTTAGATTTTGGATCATTCCAGCAACCACCATTCCTCTCAAGACACTCATTTGTCTCAATATCTGCTTGTCAGTCAAAACAATAAATCACCCCTGTCTTAAACGACCAAATAATCTTATCAGTCAAGATCAAAGCAAACCTCCGCTAAGGCAAATTGCAGGTTCACTCGTCTCTTTAAACCCAACACAGATGACTTTCAACACAGCAGTTCTCTTAAGTTTACCTTCGCAAAGCAGATGTGATTTTTAGAATATATATTTTCATTGCTCTACAGCATCCAGATTTACTACTACCTCCTTTTTACCATCTATATTTTACACTTTTTTGCACAAAGCTTACCTGTCATGATCCATACCTGCGGACGGTAAGTATTGATTAGCATATTGTTCCAATCATTGAGTCTAGATGATGTGAAGCAGTTAAGCTTGGCATAAAAGAGGGTATTACTGTACTACATAAAGTGTGCTAATAGCACTTCCCTAAACAAAAAAGCTAACGTAAAAATCCATAACAAACCTATGTATTGGACATCATTGATAACCACTGTAGGCAATATAGTGACATCACTACGAGATCCTCGGCCAGCCTAAACAGATGAAACAGAAAATAACTTTAAGAGGTGTATGCGTAGTACTGGTCTTCCCGCACTTCTAGTAAAAGAATTAAATAAAAAGAAAAAAAGAAGACAATGATTGATAATTGATAGAGTAAAGAGGCAAGGAGATAAATAGTTGATACGTTTGTAATTTCCATATGCATGTTTGTGTTTTTAATTAGTTTTGCTTGATCTTTACTATGGAAATTACACACTTTTGGTGTAATAGATTAGTTTGTTAAATTCTTGTAAATAGTTTAGATTAGATATATTCTGAGCTCAAACAGGTCTTGATCACTCAAAGTACAGTTGGTGAACCCAAAGAGTGGAAAGAAGGTGCAAAATTTGAAGATAAAAGAAGGATCCTGAATTTTGGTCTATACTCGGTCGAGTATTAACTATACTCGATCGGGTATTAGGTTGAAACTTCAAATCGGATCAGATCTGAAGACAAGGGAACATGCCGGGAGGATTTCGGCCACGATTTAATGTCTATAGCCGATCGGGTAGACCGACATACCCGATCGGGTATGCCTTTGAGTTTTAAACGAA